GTTTAAATGGGTGCTTCGTAGGGCCTAGAGTTAAGCAATGCCCAATTTTTCCTGCTTCCTTACACTGGCCCTAAATTTTCTACTTAGTCATGACAAGCGCCGGAAAAAGGTTAGTTAAGAAAGTAAGTCATTCTGTTACAATAACTATGCGATACTAACAATTCATGGTTGATGGAGCCTAGCGGGGGTTTGGCTGTGCGAATGCTGGCGTGCTGGTAGAACATCCAGCAGAGGTGGTCACACAGGCTGGACGTGAAGCTTGGGGTTTGACAGACCGGTCAGGGACGGAAATATGGATGGGGGTCATTTATATAGGAGTAAAAGAATGAAGTTACTCCTCTAAGGCAGGAATAAACACAGAGAAGATGAACTGAGCAGAAGCCTAGTAAGTGAAACAGGCAAGAAAGTGGAGTTAGCTGTAAGATGAAGGTGTGGATGCAGTGACAGAGAAAAGGAATCCCTTAGAAACTATAAAACACTGTCGACATCGAAAAATGCCAAAGTTCAGAAAGGCAAAAGTTGAAATGTCATGTTGAAAGATGCCGCTTCAGGGGAATGATAAGAGGGATCTAGATTGTGTCTTGGTGAACAGTAAATAGAGGACAAGTGTTCTGCTTCTTCCGGTTCTATAATTTCCAAACAGCAAGCCCTAGTGTAAAAATAAATAACGGTGTGAAAAGCACTCGATATATGCACTTTCAAAAGACTTGGGAATGTGCAGAAATTTACAGTGTGCAAAAATGCGGTAATTTTAGCTCTTGACAAGATAAGCAACATCTATCTAAAAAATATCATTTTCAAAAAGCTGATTTCCCCAACAGCAATGCCAAAAATATATTTAGTTTTTAATGTTTGTTTTTATACTGAATTTAAAGCACAAGCACAAACAGCTGCAAGAAGAGTAAAACCACCACATCCTGTGTAAAATAAATTTAGAATTTGCAAATCAAAGCAGAAAAATGAAGATAGGAGAGTTAAACAAAATAGTATTTTTATCTTTAATATGTATTCTTGGACTCTTAAGTTATATTTCCTTGGTTTTGTTTTGGTTTGGTTTTTCTGGTATTGGGGATCAAACTCAGGACCCTGAACTTGTGAGATAGGCAGAGGCACCACTGAGCTAAGTCCCCTGGCCCAGAACTATTAAGTTAAATAGCACTCTTACATTAATCTTAAAACTAGTGTTTTTAAATTTATTTACTAAAAATATAAAAATCAAGCAAATAGAGTTACAGTTTGAACTTAGAAGCCCACAATGACACATTTATGTTAAGTTGTGCTCCAGTTCAAACCAGGATCAAATACTTTTGGTATAACCTGTCGAGAGAGCAACAAAAGCAGTTCCAAGGGTAACTATGTCTCTTATAAGAAGCCATCAACAAAATGAAAATATTCCTGTGTTTGATCATACCGTCCCAGAGGAAGGAAAAACTACAATTCTGCACTTTGCTGCTATCATTTATAATCTCCCTTTCCAAGGGCAGTTTGGACAGAATTTGTCCAAACAACATCTTAGGTTTGGCAACCTGCCAGTAAGACAATAACTGCAGAAACTCGAGGAAACAAAATCGCCTTTTCTGTGGTCAAGCGGCTCAGCTCCCCACCGGAAAGGAAAACCCATGAACATCTTCTCTGCCACCAAGCCCCTCACCTTTCCCTTACGTGAATCCTCTCACGTAAATGCACACCAGGCTCTGGACAGCTAGAGTTCCCTCTCCTACATGAGCTCACAGGTTATGACATAGGTTCTGTTTTTTCTTTAGTAAACTCATAATACTTCATGACAAGAAAAATAAAAGCTTTTATTGTTTAACTGGTTAATTCAAGGCACTTAGCAAGGCCTAGGCTGGCAGTTAGAGAGGGACTCCCAGTAGATTATAAGGTCTGCAAGGACAAAAAGGAGAGCAATTTGGTCAGTTTTAGTTCTCTAGCAGCTGGAATAGTCCCTGGTACATGTAGGTATCTGAACATAATCATGTAAGGAGTGAATCCAAATCCATATCTGTCTGAGCCTGTGACCTACACTCTAGCTGCCACATCACAGTTTCCAAACTAATTGATAAGAATTATCTGGGTATCTCAAAAACATAAATTCACAGAACCTTCCCTAGCTATTCTCATTGAAGGCCTGGGCATATTTATTTTTAACAAAGACACTAAATGATTCTGACCACTGGACAAATTCGGACCTGTAGAAGTGTTCCTTCTTCCAGCAGCCAAATTCTCCTCACCATTTCAATCCCTCCTTCTCAAGACAGCAACATGAGTCACTGAGCACAGTTCTAATACACTGATGCTTAATGCAACCTTGTGTGTTAGGTCCTATAACTATCCCCATTGATCAGGAAAGGAAACCAAGGCACAGAGAGTGCGAGAAACTTGCATAAGATCACAGAGCCAATCAGTAAGAGAGTAGGTATTTGAGTCAGTCTTACTACAGAAGCTGAACTTCTAATTTTTTTCCCCGGTACTGAAGATTGAGCCCAGAGATTTCTCACTGAGCTACATCTCCAACCCTTCTTTTTTTGTTTTGAGGCAAAGTCTCACTGAGTCACTAAGTTGCTTAGGCTGGGCAGGAACTTGTGATCCTCCTTTCTTGGCCTCTCAGAGTGTTGAACTACAGACACTGCCACCACACTCAGCTCAGAAACTGAACTCCTACCATCACCCTATTTTGTCCACATCCACTTATTCCTTCCTCCCCAAAGTGGATCCCAAATGTCCCCTGTGGATACTCATTTCCACTTCTGGTGATGAAAGCTAATTGGTAGTACCAACATATATATCACAGATTTCAAAGTAGTAGACTATATAAAAGGAAGTCTCATGAAAAGGCATTCAACTGGATTTTTTAAAAATATAACCAAAAGCACTCGGGAGGCTGAGGCAGGAGGATCACTGTGCGTTTGAGACCAGCCTGAGCTACATAGTGAGTTCTAGGTCAGTTTCAACTACATAGTGAGACCCTGTCTCAAAAAACAACAAGAACAACAACAACAACAAAATATATATCTATGTATATATAT